GATGGACAGATCCTGGATTCCTTATGGGAGATCATTCTCGCCGACGTTCACCAATGGAGTTGAAGAGTTCATCGAGTGGGTTAAACAAAAATACCCGGAGCAAAAGATCCCTTGCCCGTGTATAAAATGTCTTAACTAGGTGGATAAAACTTGGCAGGAGGTGAAGGACCACTTACTTATATACAAAAATGTCACCCACATACACCACATGGATTCATCATGGGGAAGAGGGAGGAGGTATTAACATTATAGAGCCATCAGATGTGCATGGATCTCATCATGATGCTTGGATTGTAGAGGAGGAGCAGGAGGACGGCGACGATAACATATTACCAGATTTTGATGATTTAGTTAAAAACCTGTTGACATCTCAAGAGCGGGATGGAAGAGTCCCAGAGTTTAAAAGAGTGTTGGATGATTTGAAGCAATCAGTTTCTTCTGGATCTACCTTCTCAAGATTCTCCTTTTTTGTCAGGTTGGTCTATATCAAGTCCCACTATCAAGTTAACAACTGCTATTTTGATGCACTATTGGCATTGCTGTCAGATGCATTCCCTAGGAGCAACGTACCAAAATCATGTGAGGAGGCACACAAATATATTCGAGAATTAGGACTTGGTTATGAAAGTATCCATATGTGCAAGAACAACTGTGTGTTGTTTTTGGGGTGATCGTGAGAAATTGAAAGTGTGCCCAAAATGCAAAGAGTCTAGATGGGAGGATGCAAATGGTAGCAGGCGGATTCCTCATAAGTTTTTTGAGGCATTTTCAACTAATATCGAGGTTGCAGAGGATCTTTGCTGCTCGAGGAACAGCTGCGGACACCGAATGGCATAAGACTAAGCGAGAGAAGAATACCGGTGAAATGAGCCATCCAGCAGACGGGGAGGCATGGCAGGTGTAGGGGACCAATACCAGGGTACCCGAAGCGAAAGAGCTAATAACCTTCAACGTTAATTCATCTGAGCGGTCAAGGGCGCAACTACAGCCCTTGCCGACCCCCAGGTATGCAAGCTCCGCCTCGTCCGGCCTCTGAGGGCCGATTCCACCTTGCCCGACCTCCAAGGGCTGGCTTCACCACGCTCGACCTCTGAGGGCAGGGCTCTGCCTCGCTCGACCCTTGGGTTCGTGCTCTGCCTTGCCCGACATTCGAGGGCTGGCTTCGCCTCGCCCGACCTCTAAGGGCAGGGCTCCGCCTAGCCCGATCCTTGGGTCCGTGCTTTGCCTTGCCCAACCTTTGAGGGCAGGGCTCCGCCTTGCCTGACCCTTAGGTCCGCGCTCTGCCTCGCCCGACCTTTGGGTCCACGCTTTACCTCACTCGACCTCCGAGGGCTGACTTCGCCTCGCCCGACCTCTGAGGGTAGGGCTCCGCCTCGCCCGACCCTTCGGTTCACGCTTCTCCTCGCTCGACCTTTGAGGGCTGGCTTCGCCTCGCCCGACCTCTAAGGGCAGGGCTCCGCCTCGCCCGACCCTAGGGTCCGTGCTCCGCCTCGCCCGACCCTTGGGTTCGCGCTCCGCCTTGCCTGACCCATGGGTTTGGGCTCTGCCTCGCTCGAGCCTTGGGATTGCGCTCCGCCTCGCCTGGCCTCTGGGAAGGAACTCCATCTCGCCCAACCCCAAGGCCAGAGGCTTCGTCTCGCTTTATAAAGACCCATACCGTCGCCAACCATTCCAGGTCCAAGCGTATGGGTCTGTGTCAAAGCTCTGATGCCAGGGAAGTGACCGGCACGCCCAGATATAACATGTGGCCATGACGGGCCATACCTGGGGACTCACATCAGAAACAGCGTCGGGCGTACCGGTACTGTTCTGCCTAACCCTCGTACTAATACTAACAAATGTGTCAGTTCACCACAACGTCCACCAGGACGGAGTGAAGCACCACGACCGGGAGACGACGCCTGCACATGGCGCCAGTGATGGATAGGGCCGCGAACATCCCAACGTGATTGTGTCAGAAGAGAAAGTACCTTCTCCTCACTATTCTTATTTCTGGCCCTAAACAACTAGGCATTGATATAGACATGTTCCTCGAGCCTTTGATGCAAGAAATAGAGAGGCTATGGAGGCATAGGGAGCCGATGTACGATGCGTTCTGAAAGGAGGACTTTATATGTAGAGCAATAATATTTGTTACTACCAATGATTATCTCGCGCTGTTTGCTTTGTCTGAACAAATCAAAGGGAAGACGAGATGCTTAGTTTGATTGGATGGTACTACATGGGTGTTCCTGGATACATCTAAGAAGATAGTCTACCTAAGGAACTGGCGCTTCTTAAAGATAAGTCACAAATACTGCAGCAAACACTTGTACAACTGTAACACGTAGACACTTGAAACAGGCACTTATTACTACTGCAACATGTTCGGACTACTATTGAAACACTTAAAACAAGCACTTAACACTTTATGAAACGAAGAAATGACCAAAACAAAAGTTGGAGATCTTGATGAGTTATACAACTTTTATATTCATCACCTTTACAGCTGAAATCATTTAGTGGTTGAAAATCAGGTTTGAAGTTGTCATTTTCTGAAATTTAAAATTTGAATTGTCCAAAATTAGTGACAAAGATAGACGACCAGACTAAAATGACAGAGCATGATTTTAGAAAATTTTAGGAAAAAAAACCATCACATTTGGAGTTAATATGAGGGAGAAAAACTAATTACAAGTTTCAGCCACAGATTAAAAAGAGAAATCACACTTGTTCATCATTGATCATCATGAACAGTTGTGATTTTTCTTTTTAATCTCTGGGTAAAATTTGTAACAGTCTTTCTCCCTCGTACTAACTCCAAATGTGATGATTTTTTTCCTAAAATTTTCTAAAATTATGCCCTATCAAGTTATTGTGTTGATTTGGTCATTCTTTTCGTTTGACAAAGTTTGAGGAATTTAAATTTTCAAATTTAAAAAAATGACAAGTTCTAACAAGATTTTGAAACACCAAATGATTTCAGATAAAAAAGTGATGAATACTAAAGTTGTATAACTCATCAAGATCTACAACTTTTATTTTAATCATTTATTCATCTGACAGTGATAGTAAACATTGTTCACAAATCAACATGTCTCTCGTATAGTTTATAAGACTAAGTGATATGTGGATTTGTGAACAATGTTTACTAACACTTTGTTAAATGAAGAATTGATCAAAATAAAAGTTGTAGATAGTGATGAATTCAACAACTTTTATGTTCATGACTTTACTAGTTGAAATCATTGAAGGTTTCAAAATCTTGTTTGAAGTTACCATTTATTAAAATTTAAAATTTGAATTATTCAAATTTAGTCAAATAAAAAAATAACCAAAATAAAAGTTGTAGATAGTGATGTGTTCATGACTTTCTTATTTGACATCATTTAAGGCTTCAAAATCTTGTTTGAAGTTGTTATTTATTGAAATTCAAAATTTGAACTTTTTGAATTTTGTCAAATGAAAAGATGACCAAAATATAAGTTGTACATCTTGATGAGTTCTACAACTTTGATGTTTACAAAATTTTCATATAAGTTCAATTAGTGTCCTAAAATTCTATTAGTTGTTTTGAAATTCAAATTTTCAATTTTTAAAATATTGTTTTTGTAAAGAAAAAAATATAGAATTATATCTATATATATAATAAAATTGTTTATATATACATATATTTATATATATAAAATAATCAAAAAACTAATATATAAATTTACATTGTGTTCTTTATATATGAATGAATTACACAATTAGTAATTAAAATAAATTAAAAAATATTTGTAGGTCGACTAACTTAGGATCCGCCCCTACAAATCGATTTGTAGGGGCGGCTAACTCAGGAGCCGCCCCTACAAATGACCTTAGGTATATAAACTAGAGAGGCCAAAAATTTTCTAAGTTTGGGTGTTATTCTCCTCCACGACGCCGGCAGGCTGCCGCCTCTGTGTCCTACCTCCGCCGCCTCCGTGCCCTACCTCCCCAATCCACCTCCAACCCTCGGTGTCTCCTGCCCTGCGCGCCGCTGTTCCCCCGGCGGCTAGGGTTTCTGCCGCCGTTCCCCCTCCCACGGCGGCTAGGGTTTCCGCTGCTGGTGTCTGTGCTCCCTCCCTCCAGCAGCCCTAGTGCCCTGGTGCCCATGCGTTGTCCCTCCGCCAGCGGCCCCGGTGCCGGTGCGCCCCGACGTCCCTGCTCCCTCACCGGCGGCTCTGGTACCCGTCGTGCGCTCCGATGTCCGTGTTCCCTCCACCGGTGGCCTCGGTGCTGGTGCGCCCCGGTGTCCCTGCTCCCTCCCTCGGCGGCTTTGGTACCCGTGCGCTCCGGTGTCCACCACCCTTTTTTTGGCTCTGATAGTTTCATGTTTTGTTTTTTGATTTGAATGCTGTGGTGGTAGCCATTGATTTGATTGTTGCGGTTGACATTCATCAAGATTGCAATGTGGTCTTCGGTGTTAATGAATTAAGCCATAAATTGGTAACTTAAGACATGGACCATAAGGAAGTGATTGTTATTGGCACTTTTGAAAATCTAGACAGTACGATAGTTGCTTGTTATGCTTCATATTTCTTAAAATCACCGGTTCTAACAAGCACTGAAAGTGCATGCTCTAGGTATGAGCTGCTAGCAGCTTTGTTAGGTTGTAGTAAACACTGTGAGGTGTTTGGTCTCTGCTTGGGTGTATTCCATCTTGTGTGTTTGACCAATTAGTACTACAAAGCTTATTGAGACATTTATATAGTGTATCTTCATGGATGCAGTTGCTCTAGTCGAACAATTTGGATCTTTGGTGATAAGTTATATGGTTCATATGCTTCCATTTTTGTGGTCGTACTAGTGAGTAATTGTTTACTAGACTTGTGTATTTATTTATGTCGAGTGAATAAAATTATCTTTCATATGTTCAAAATGGTGCATTGTTATGGACTGGTTCCAAACTGATGGCTTACAGTAACATCAAAATTTAAAATCTAGAACATTAGTGTTTAGCTGGTGACTTACTTGCGGGAGTTGTTTTATTCTCTTTTCTACCATGTCCAGACGTCCATATTCCTGTCCCAAACTCTATTTCTTTGCTGACTTGCTGCTGGAAGCCTAAAATACCAAAGAAGACCATAATTAGCAACACTAATGTAGTCTTGATCTTGACACAGCTCAACAGCAGCACGGCTGCATTAGCAAGCACTGCTGCAGTAGCAAATAACTAGCATTTAGCAGTTAGCACATAGCAGACCATAGCAGCCACACAGCCAACATATTACATAACCAAACAAGTTCAACAAAAGTGTTCAACACAGAGTCACAAACATTGACATTTAACACTCCAACAAAAGTAGGCAAAGAACTTAATTAAAAGTGTTCACTCACCATCTTCCACATAACTTGATTAAACATGATTCTCAGCTGCTTGTCTCTTATCCTTTTCCTTTAGGGCAAAGAACTTGCTTGGATTCAAGTATAGGGCTGTCTCTTATCCTATAGATGGTCGACTCAAGCAATGTCGAATTAACTTTTCTATTCTCGCTAGGGCGGGTAACCAACAAGGTATGGTTTTATACATCAATAGGACGAGCAGTGGTCAACCTCATGACATTACCGCGCAAAAATATGCTATGCAAGCATGTTTAAGGGCGCTTCAAAATATTGGGTACAATATTCCTACATACTCCTCCATGAGAATTACTGCTTTGAATGTGGGCATCCACCACGATATTGGATTGTTTTGTGCAAAGCTTACTGAGGACAACATGAATGATGTGGTCAGTCTCATAACTTATATCCAGATTAATTGTTATGTCTATATATATGCATGGTTCTGATAACCACATTTTTTTCAACACTTGCAGATTCAGGAGAACGCCGTAACATACGCAAGTTGTAGCTTTGAAGCCATTTTAAATCAGGCCATGTATTACTTGGGTCGTTATAAATGGGAATATGGTGGCCCTGTTCTCGCTTCAGAGGGAATCCATGAAAAAATTCTTGTGACTAGGAGTGAAGATTCTCGACCAATGTTGATCGTCGTCAGTAGACCTTGTGAACGATCTTGTGAAGTAAGGGAGAGTACACTAGTAAATACATTGCACTATATCAGTGACATTTGACATATAAAATAAATGATCTGTACTTCTTCGAGTACGTGGTACGACGTTAGAAAATTCTAGGAAGTTAAATTACTGTTAGCTGTAATAATAAACCGATCTAAATTATTATGGTTTGTAATGAATAAATTTAAATTATTATATGTTTATAATGAATGTGTTTGTAACGAAGTAATTTAAATTATTATGGGTTTGTAATGCATATATCTTCTTGTCAATTAGTTGTTGATATAATGTCTTTATGAATTATATTATATATATATATATATATATATATATATATATATGTTCCGGTCATATTTAAATTTTCAAATTTCAAATTTTTTGTTGTGAAAATGTACTGTAGGAGCGGTTCTAGAGTGAACCGCCCCTACAAATAGAAATTATAGAGACAGCTGGTGTTACAACCGCCCCTACAAATTATTTTTGTTGAAGCGGCTGGTGTTACCAACCGTCCTTACACATACAGTTGTAGAGACAGCGGGTGACACAAGCCGTCTCTACAAATCAATTTATAGAGACGGCTTGAGAACCGCCCCTACAAACCCTTGATTCATAAAGACGGTAGAGGCGGCTAGCAAAATCACCTCCGCCCCCCTACAAATACTACTGTAGCAGTGCTGGGCGAGCGACCTGCGGCAGCAGCGGTTTGCCTCCCTGCTGCACGGCGGCACGTCCTGCACAGCGGCGGCAGCTTGCTTCCCCACGGTGGCGCGGCCTGCACAGCAGCGGCGAGCGAGCGACCTGCGACAGCGGCTGTCGATGCACACTTGCCCGAACAGGCCTAATCCATCATGTGCACGTAATTTATTTGTTAGTTGCACGCATGCATTCGTAACGACATGTAAAGCAAAAACTGGTGTGATCTATTGACGTCCCTTTAGCAGTCCAAGAAAAAAAAAAGAAGGTTTAGGTCAAGGATAGAAGTCGTATTTGACTCATGTACCTAAAATAAACGTGACTTATAGCGGGTGGGATTATAGACGTACCACGAGACGTATGTGAGTTTGAATCTTAGTTTAGGAGGAGTCTTATCTCTTATATGTAAGATCACGGATGACAAATAGCTTATATAGCATAATGTGTAGATCGAACAATTATTATAGAGATAGCCCTCAAAAACAACTCGGCCTTTTATAATGTTGAAGATATATTTTTTGTTATGTTCTATGTACATAGTAAAAATTATATATTAAAAAAGCTAGAACAAGTAGTTTTTACTATATAGCTATGGTATTTTCCACTAGGAGGAAGACTGAAGAAACGCTGTCTCGTAACAGAAGTGCTCGGCTTTTCCTTTCCAACAACAGTGTCCCTATCCCTTTTAGTCAAGTGGTATTTCTAATGCTATCGCCGATACCAATATGAATTAACGTATGATTCATTGTGCTTTCATCCAATAACGGAACTACGAGCACAACCTTTTCAAAACAACTAATACTTTGGGACGGAGGGAAGTACATAGATATCACATTTGGATTAAAACCAATTCGCTTAAAGTAGACAAGAATATATTTAAACATCAATTCGCAAATGTCAGCACATAAAATATACATCATAATGTCTCTAATGACGTAGGCAAATCCATCAATATACAAGAGGGAGGAAGATAGATCTGTTTAAAAGGATCAAGGTTCAGAAACAACCTCATCCATATAATCAGAGTACACATCTGAGTACTGCAGCATGGTTAGGCAACAAGACTGCTATCCCTAAGCAGGTATTGTTATCGCAGGATAACTGCTGCATTTCTCAAGGCCAGGTACCTTTGGACGTATTCATCAGGAAGCATCCTGATCTGCTTGAACACCTCTGGATCAGCGTAGCGCAACTTTGTCCTCGGATCCACATACGGTGCCTGCAATGAGCGATTTAGTTCAGTTGCCATCAGCAATCATAGAGAAGTAAAATGCAGAAGTAGGTGATGTATAAGTTTGATAAAAAAAAATAGCAGTTTGTCTAGAGTATTCTTTCTAGAATTCTGTTTTCTTTCATGTCTGTCATGCAGACACTACAACTGAGCTGCCAGGTACAGTTTAGTTAGGTTGTGCTCGGCTCTCCATCGATCTCGCAGCCCCCGATGGCTTGCGTCCCCATGGCCGGCAGCGTCACAGCCACCGGCACCCTTCGTCCCAGCCGCTAGCGCCCCCATGGCCAGCAGCCCCACGGCCCTCGACGTCCCCATAGCCGGCAGTCCCGCGCGCTTGTCGCCGGCGTCCCTATGGTTGGCACCGCGGCCCCAGCGGCTCGTCAAGCTCCATTCGCACACCATTGAACTCCGCCACACCTAATCAGGGTCAGCCCATCCCTTCTCTCTTCTTCCTGCCGCCCCGCAGATCTCGTATCTGCCATTGAGCTCGCCGGACCTGAAGCCCCTCTGACCTCGCCTGAGCTCACTGGCCCCGAGGCCTGTCGACTTCTCCTGGGAGCTCGCCGACACCATCAACCTCTCTCTTCTCACATGCCCACACGCTAGCGCCAAGAGCGCTCATTCCACTTGGGACGACCCATTCGTCAAATTTTTGGGGGCGAGTTGAACCTGCATCCAGAGAGTATATTCCCTAGTGGGATGGTCCCATCTCTATTTGTCTCCGAACCAAAACACCATCCGAAAGTGGGATACCCCACCTGGGACCATCCCATCCCTAGAACCAAACACTACCTTAGGGAAGGCTCAACTACAACAGGACTGCCCAGTGGCTAGAACAGGACTGCTCAGCTTGAGCCAAAACTACTAACATAGATGTCAGATGAGGATATCCAATGCACAAATTATTAATATCAGGGAACTGAGATGAAGTTTCTACATTATGTAATCTGAGGATGTCCAATACAAAGGTTATTAATATCACGGAAGGTGAAATTTATAAATTATGTCACTACCAATACCAATCTGATGCGAGAATAGCAAGCAAAAAAATGCTAGAAAAATGGACAAAAATCCTTGTCTACAAAAGAGAACTTTTGGAAATGAGTGGAATAATTTCAACAGCTAATTGCAAGAATTCAGATATTATCTAAGTCAAATCTGAGATCAATAGTCACTTCCGATTTATAAGACACAAAATAGATATCAAATCTTGTTTCGTTCGTGTTCCAAAACAGACTAGCCATACATTAGATATAAGTGCCTTACTTGAATGAAGTGACTGCTGGGAACCTATAATCGCCCAGTGGTTTCTAGTCTAGCACTACCAACCGCCTAACAGTTCCAATCAGAAGTTTTTCATTCTATTGGCTTCCACACATGGACAAGGGAGGGAAAAAACATACTATGTGAAATGGCCCTAATCAGAAGTTACAGGAAGAAAGAAATACAAACTCAAAAGAGTATCATGACAGCCATATTCTCCAGACCATCTTCATATTCACAGCTCCAAAAGAAGAAAACAGTATGCATTTCCAAAAGACAAAAGACATGCAAAGCTTCTTTAACATAATAGTCCGCTGTTCAAAAGGCAACAGCATTGACTACATCTTTTCCAAATGTAGGTCATTTTAGTTTTGTCCTCATTCAAATTTCTCTAACTTTGACCAAGTTTATAGAAAATGTTACTATCCAGTTATGTACAGTACCAAACTGCTCTATCAAGACATATTTCATGGTGAATTTAATAAAACTAACTTCATGCAGTAGATGATCCATTTTTCTAAAAACTTCGTCTTAGTTAGAGTAATTTTAACTTGGGACAAACTAAAATGACCTATATATTTTGGAACAGAGGGAGTTGCATACTACTTGCGTTCCAGTTTTTCTTAGGTATAGCTTGATTAGCTTCTTTTAAGCTACCAATTGGTCTTTCTTCTAACCTACCGACCAGCAGCTAATAGCACACATTCTACACAAGAACTGAACCGGTCCTATACAGATGATACAATCACATATCAAGTCAAAAGTTAGCACCACCAAAAATATAATACTAATAGTAAGTAAGCACACTGTGACCAGTATAGTAGTACTAAGGAAACACAGTATGACCCTTTTTTTCTTCTTCCAATTTGACCTCGCTCAATAAAACCATTGAATGACCTTCTCAGATATGTAAGCCCAAAAGAAGGAACTATTGAAGTAAACTTACCTCAAAACCTGTTAAGTCACAGTACCTCTTTGGTGGGTAAATGGATGGGGGCGATTGGATATTCATATCTGCACAAAACTAAATGGTGTCAGCATAAGATGCTGTCTCAATCTGCACAAACCACATATGCATATTCAAGATAAGATGTTGACAATGTAACACCCTTATTTCAAGACTTGCTAGGTTCTTATTTGTCCAATTATCCAGCTTGAGTGATTTGACTAAGAAAAGTCGCATACAATCCTACAAGAGATCATATTCTTTTGATTGTCTTTCGATCGAAAAAATGCACAAACAGTAAGAACAAAAACTTCTGGATTTTTCAAGTGGCACGGTCTTTTATCAAACATAAGCAAAACATGACTCGATGAAACTATATAAAATTATCTTTTGTGTTTAAAAGTGTTGATGCCATAAAATTCCTCAGTTGCTGTCAGCGAGCGGGGACCCATCAACCGGTGGTAATTACCACTGATTGAAAGAAAAACAGGGTGCGAGGTTAATACAATTGTTTGAAGTTTGAGGGAGGTCTTCGCCTGGGTGAAGGAATTAGAGAAGCAGGATTTTATTACTAACTACTCTGTGCAGCTTTTCCGGTCTATACATAATGACAATTTCACCAATCGATAGATGCTGTTGATCATATCAGACAATATCTTGGTTGCATATGAGATAGAGTGATAGACACATGGTTCGCGGAATAAAAGAGAAGGAAAACAGATATGCAGCTTATCAAATCGGATATAAACAAGGTATATGACAGTAATGACAGCAGATTCCTGCAAGATATTATGTTGAAAATGGGGTTCATTGCTGATTCGATACAATTGAAGCATACCACATCAGTATCCTACTGTATAAGGTGAATGGAGTCTTGACAGAGAATTTCACTGGGAGATACACTATCCCCTTATCTGTTCCTTCTATGTGTTGAGGGGCTTCATCTATCATATATGTATCACCGATATGCAATACACCAATACATTGATACGGCATTAGTCCAGAAACAAGGATATGGCGAGGATATATATATATATATATATATATATATATATATATATATATATATATATATATATATATATATATATATATATATATATATATATATATATATATATATATTACTTAAATACCACTAACATGTATAAACAAACTAAAATTATTTAACATAAGAAATTATGATATTTAAGATTGATGCTATTAGGAAAGCAGCTAGTGTGCACCTCTACTCAACAACTAAAATATTTAAACACACATACTCAATACATATCCATCACAAGATGAAGGGGAAAAGAAAAAAAGAGAAAGCATGAGGTGGGCTTCCATGTGCTGGGCTGCTGGCCCAGTCAGCCCACCTAAGATACCCTATAGCTATTTTGGTGGTCCACGCAAGGCAGCTGCCACCGCCACTCGTTCTTCTTCCAAATGACTATCCTATCACCTCCCTCAACGCTGCTTTGCCATATAGCCATCAATTGCTCACCACCTACGACTATCTAACGCCACCCACTAGCAAAATGGGTAGCCCATGCCCTCATCACATCTCTTATCACCCTCGGTAAGCACTCTTCTCAGACCCTGGCCCACCTTCCAGGCTCTCCCTAGTTCTCCATCACCCTGCTATATCGCATGAATAGGAAACAACATATTGGGTGGAAGAATCAGCAAGTATCAGAAACATAACGGTGATTCAATCTTTTTATTTTTAAAATCACAATTTCATAATACTTCACGATATGCATATCACAGCATTTCACGGTATCCTGCCATATCTGATATGGGTACAGCAGCCTACCTCACATATCAGTGGTACCTAGATTTTCATCACTCTTGCACAAGGCAGATAGAGAAGGAAGAATAAATGGAGCTAAAGTATGCCCAAGCGCTCCAAGCGTTTGCCATCTTTTATTTGCTCATAGTTCTTCGATCCTCATTCACGCAAATAGAGAAAATGCTTTGCAGCTAAAAAAATTCTTAATTTGTATGAGCGATGCTCGGGCCAAATGATCAACAATGCAAAGCCAGCTGTCCTTTTTCAGTAAGCACACAAAAAGGAAATGTAACAAAGTAGCACTAGCCGAGCTTGGCTCGATGTGCCATGGTGTTGCCAGTCCTGTTCTGGATGTAACCCCTGATTGAATCATTCAGCTTGCTTGTGATGACATTTCAGGTTAAGTAATAGTAAAGTCTCGCTTCAAAAAGAAAAGTGACGATTTATTACAGATATCTAAGGTTCCATTTACAGATGTTTAAAAGAATCTTAAAATTTTATATCAATTTGTATCAAAGATCTCCACAACATAATTTTATTGGCATTCATCTGTATATAAATTCTTCACAAAAAGTATGGAATAATAGTCATAATGATGGCATTGATCTAATGCTTTCTGTGTGAACAGTCAAACAGCTACTCTGTAAAGACAAATTTCGATGTGACATGATACTTCTGCTGTCCAAAAATGTAGATGTTATGGTGGGCCAAGTGTACCAGCGAAGGAAGCGTAACCGTGGCTGAAGACGCGGGCGTGAAGCGCGCAGAGCGCGGCGACGAAGGGGTGATCGCGCCCAGGGCGGCGTCCTCGTTCCTAGCATAGTTGTTAAGGCGTCGCTATACCGACGCCATATCGTCGCCATATCGCCGTGGCGTTTTTCTGGCTCTCGCCACGGCGACGCCACAGCTCCGGCGTGTATGGCGTCCACCATAGCGCCGTGGCGTCCCCGTGGCGCCGATTTGGCGTCCTGTGGGCGCCTTTAGCGCTTATGTGGCGGCGCAATAGACGGTGAGGCCGTGAGGGTACTGTAGGGGCGTGCGCCGCCGACGGTCCAGCCGAGGCGGGAGGGGAGAGAGAGGTGCGTCTGCAGGTCGCCACCGGTGTGAGGACGGAGGCGAGGGCGCCAGTGATTGGCGAGAGGTGGGAGGAGGAGCGCCCGACGCCGCCGCCGAGCCTGGGATCGCCTGCCGCCGCCGAGAGCCCGAGCTCGCGCGCCTCCGCGCCTTCATGCCGCGTGCGCGAGTGGGGGACGAGGCGAAGATGGAGCGTCGCCTTCATGCCAAGCGCGAGTGGGGAGGGAGCAGAAGATGGAGTGGCGGCGCTTCTGAGGAAGATAAGAACGGCGGCGGCTACTATCGGTTGTGTGCCTTAGTGCTAGGGTAAAGACTATGCGGCGGTCGTGGGGCTTTTTAGATGGGCCACTAAATAAAAGCCCATACCATCTCTTTTCTTTTCATTTCTTTTTTCTTTCTTACATATTTTGACAAATTAGCACATAATCTATATATTTATATATCTACAATAACATATTTACTCATGCGATTTATTGAAAGCCACATCGATCTCCATTATCCTCTATTGATCCCCATGTACTTGTAATTAAAATTCCTTGCTACATTTACATTGCTATTTTGATTTGCTAATATTGTAGACTATACCTTTTAAGCTACATTTGCATTACCATTTGTCAATATAATTTCCTAATATCATAGACTATAATGTATGTATTCGCCACGCCGATGTGTGTATGGCGTCGCCACGCCGCGCGCCATAGACGCTGTAAAGGTGTGAAGGTGGTGGCTCGCCGCGCCTCGCCACGCCGCCGTAAAAACTATGGTTCCTAGGATCTTGGATTGCATTTCGTAGTCAGTTTGTTAGATCAGATAGATCTTGTTGCTTAATTTGTGGAACATTCGGTTTGTTAGCATGTGGCTATATATAGCCCGCACACTTGATTAATGAAGGGCAGCTGGAGATTGAGTCAATCTCTTCCGCTCTCGAGTGACTACACTCTCACGTGTTCCATTTCGACGCCGGACTTCAGGACGGCGTCGCGCGTCCGCCGCTGTCGAGAGCCTAAGCCCCGCCCACCAACCTCGCACGACTACTACCTGAGAGGAACGACTACCGTTCGGCCTCACCAACGCACCGGCGACATTCCAGAGCTTGATGAACGTGGTGCTGCAGCCCTTCCTTCGTCAGTGCGTCTTGGTGTTTTTTTGACGATATATTGATCTATAGCAAATCCTGGACCGAACACCTTCAACACCTGCGCGCCGTCTTCACCGTCCTACGCGAGCATCAACTCCGGATCAAACGCTCCAAGTGCGCCTTCGGCACCTGCTCCGTGGCCTATCTGGGCCATGTTATCTCGGCGTCCGGAGTGGCCATGGATGGCGACAAGGTGGAGGCCGTGGCCTCCTGGCCGCAACCAGCATCGGCGCGCGGCTTCCTCGGCCTCGCCGGGTATTACCGGCGATTCATCAAAGACTTCGGCACGGTGGCCGCACCGCTCACCAAGCTCCTCCGCAAGGACGGTTTTCGCTGGACCGACGAGGCGACCGCCGCGTTCGCCGCACTCAAGGAAGCTCTGTCCACGACGCCGGTGTTGCATCTCCCTGACTTCACCAAGGCGTTTGTGGTAGATTGCGACGCCTCCGGGACAGGGTTTGGTGCCGTGCTACATCAAGGTGCGGGGCCGTTGGCGTTCTTCAGCAAGCCCTTCGCCGCCAGGCACCTGAAGGTGGCGGCATACGAGCGTGAGCTCATTGGGCTCGTGCAGGCGGTTCGCCACTGGCGGCCATACCTCTGGGGCCGTCAGTTCGTCGTGCGCACGGATCACTATGCCCTGAAATACATGCTCGATCAGCGCCTGTCGACCGTTCCCCAACACCAGTGGATAAGTAAGCTATTCGGTTTTGATTTCACTGTGGAGTACAGGCCTGGAAGATTGAACACAGTGGCGGACGCTCTCTCCCGGCGCGAGTCTGACGTCGCGCATCTGGCCGTGCTCTCCGCGCCCACGTTCAGCCTCTACGACGACCTCCGCGCGGAGCTGCAGGCCGATGACCAGCTGCGTCACCTACGCGACACCATCGCCACCACGCGCAGCGCCCCGTGGCACGTCCAGGACGGCCTCATCCTCAAGGGGACCTGCGTCTACGTGCCGGCCACGTCCAGCCTCCTTCCGGTGGTCCTCCAGCTCGCGCACACGGCGGGGCACGAAGGCGTCCAGAAGACGCTTCAACGACTACGCCTCGACTTCGCCGTGGATCACGACCGCTCCGTGGTCCGGGACTTTGTCCGCTCCTGCTCGACATGCCAGAAGAACAAGACGGAGGCTTTGCACCCGGCCGGGCTGCTCCAACCCCTTGACGTCCCCACTCAGGTCTGGTCTGACATCTCGATCGACTTTGTTGAAGGCCTCCCCAAGGTGAACGGCAAGAGCATGATCCTTACTGTCGTGGATCGATTCTCGAAGTATGCGCACTTCATCCCCTTGGGCCACCCCTACACGGCGTCCTCCGTCGCGCGCGCGTTCTCACCGACGTGGTCCGACTTCATGGGTTCCCGGTCTCCATCGTGAGCGACCGCGACCCCGTCTTCACCGGCCACGTGTGGAGGGACCTGTTCACGATGGCCGGGGTGCAGCTGCGTATGAGCACCGCCTTCCATCCGCAAACGGACGGGCAGTCCGAGGCCGTGAACAAGACGATCGCCATGTACTTAAGGTGCATCACTGGGGACCGGCCTCGCGCTTGGCTGGACTGGCTCCCATGGGCCGAATACTGCTACAACACGGCGTTCCACTCGGCGCTGCGCACAACTCCGTTCCAGGTGGTCTACGGGCGACCGCCACCGGCACTACTTCCCTACGAGTTGGCCACGGCGCGCACGACGACGGTGGATGGCCTCTTGCAGGACAGGGACGCCTTCCTCGCCGACGTCCGGGAACGTCTTCTCCAAGCTCAGAACTACGCCAAGCGGTACTACGACGCACACCATCGCGCTTTGGCGTTCGACGTGGGTGATTGGGTTCTGCTCTGACTGCTCCATCGCCCGGCACAGTCCTTGGTCCTGGCCGTGGCAACAAGCTCACCCGCGATCGCCGGGCCTTTTCAGTCTTTGGAACGAGTGGGCGACGTCGCAGCGTCTGCTTTGGCGGCGCCGAGAGCACGCCCACATACACGATGTCTTCCACGTGGGCGTCCTCAAGCCCTTCCACGGCCAGACCTCCGGCGTCGACTCGCTCTTCCACCCTACTACGCAACGGCGCCTCGACACCGGAAAAAGCGCTGCGCGCTGCAAACGTCGCGGACATGGCACGTGCTTTCGCGTCGGGTGGTACAGCATGTCCCGAAGATGCCACTTGGGAGCCACTCGACACGCCAAGGCCGAGCCCACCTCGACTTTCACTTTCGAGGACGAGTTGTTTGTCGAGGAGGAGAGATGTTATGGTGGGCCAAGTGTACCAAATGAAGGAAGCGTAACCAGTGGTGAAAGACGCAGGCGTGAAGAAAGCGCAGAAGCGCGCACGAAGGGTGATCGCGCCCGGCGGCGTCCTCGTTCCTAGGATCTTGGATTGCATTTAGTAGTCGATTTGTTAGATCGAGATAGATCTTGTTGCTTAATTTGTGGAACATTCGGTTTGTTAGCATGTGGCTATATATAGCCCGCACACTTGATTAATGAAGGGCAGCTGGAGATTGAGTCAATCTCTTCCGCTCTCGAGTGACTACACTCTCACGTGTTCCAGTTCGACGCCGGACTTCAGGACGGCGTCGCGCGTCCGCCGCTGTCGAGAGCCTAAGCCCCGCCCACCAACCTCGCACGACTACTACCTGAGAGGAACGAGTAGCGAACCTAACAGTAGACTCCAGTTCTGAAGACCTTTTTCTTTACCAAACCACTTGGTGGCAAATGCCAATAGCCTACAAGCATGTATACATTCTAATCCAATCAATTGTTTGTATGACCCTGACAACTTAAAACTGAACAGGAGCAACCAAGTTACCTTTATTTATTAGCACCAACACACAACCCACAATTTTCAACTAAATACCCACATAAACATGAACAACGGAGGAGAATCGCAGAAACGGGTGGTTCTCTAAAGACAAGCACGGCCACAATGTGCGATAGTTGAGCAATAATCATCTAATAGAACTCAGGAGGAGTATCCAGATCAAGAAGAGGGGACCCGGAGGGTGCTCACAATTGGGGCGGTCCGGGGGCATGGAGAATGCGTCAGCGGACTGGAGCAGGTGGCGCAGGTGCTTCCACTGGCGGCCCCGGGACTGGCCTTTGGGATACTTGTCCGCCGTCTGCATCTTCTTGAACGGCAGCGTCGGCGCAAGCACCATCTCCGTCCTCACCACCTCCGACTCCATCCACCTCTACTCCACTGCGCGGCGCAAAGAGAGGGGTGTTAAGTGGTCCGGCCGTTCGGCGGATCCTCCACCAGGAGGTTAGGGTTCAAGGCGACGCGGGTTAACGGAGAGGGAGGGTTCGGCGCCCAGGGGGCAGGGGCAAAGGAAGGCGAGAGAGAGGAAGCCGGCGGCGAGGTTGGACGGTTCAGGGTCGTGACAGAGAGCGGCGGAGTGCACGGTGACCTTTTCAGATCGGAAATGCGGACGGCTGAGATCGACGCGGAAGGGGAGAAAGGACTTTCATAGGCCCATTCTGTAAAAAAAAAAAAGCTAATAATACAGACGACTACTCACAGTATTAAAACTTAAATACAATCTATCGGTCCACTCGTATAATAGTTCGTCGGTTTAAAGCTCACTTGTCTGTCTCACATAACTTTTTGGTTCCTATGCATGAGCTAGCTGTAAGCTTATAGCCCATTTTTTTTCTCTCTCCTCTCCTCTCTCCTCTACGTCAGCATTCAGCTCACCTACAGGCTACAACCCCTTATTATACTTGCTCTAAGGGGAGTCCACCGGCCTCAACGTTCAGCCCGATCAGATGTTCAGAACTGTGTCGTGAAAAAAAAACGAGAAAATCACACCCACCATACAATAATAACTTAGCGGGCGGCATTTATTAAAGCAAAGTTTAACACGCGAACCTAGCACGACGGCACGACCCCTTTTCCCACGCAACCTCGGTCTCCCTCTTCTGCGTCGACGTGGTCGCGTTCTTCCAGCGGGCGAGGACGTGGACGGCGGAGGTTGGAGTGGGTGGCGGAGGAGCTTGCAGCAGCGGGCGGTGGGTGGCGCGGCCGCCAGCGAGGAAGCCGGCGGCCAGGGGCGGTGGGGGAGGAGGTGGGGGTGGTGTGAGGACGACTACGACCGTTGGCATGAAACTAGGTAATTCCTTCGCACGTTGCTTACTATGAGAATTACAAATCACTTTTAAATGATTCCTTTACATAAAAAGAGACTATGAAGCGATCTAAGAGCATAATAAAAAATTAGGTGCCATTTAGACCGGCAAAGAGACTATATGATTGAGATTAATATATGGGATAAACTGAATAAGGTAAAACATAACCAGCTGATTGTCTATGGTGTTGCCTAAGACGAAAATAAGATTTCTTTCTTATCTGAGCTCTCCCATTTTTGCTTTGCAAATAAAGAACCCATCTTGATTGGTGGTGACTTCAGTATAATCGGATACACCAAGGAGAGAAATAAAATCATAAGGTTAAATAAATACTCAGATATGTTCAATACTTTGATCCATTTTGATGAACAGAGAGAGCTAGATATGAGTGGAGATCTTTTTACTTGGTCCAATAACCATGAGTTCCCAACTTATCAAGTGGTTGGGAAGAAGACATCTATCCTCATGTCATGGTTGAGAAACTCCATAGAGAAATTTTAGACCATAACCCTCTCATCCTTTTGATTGAAAGAAAACAACCCTCTCATCCTCTTTTTTGAGGTTGTCCAACCTTTAAAGCTTATTCATTTCATATTTGAATGAAGCTGGTTAGATAACCGTGACTTTCTAGTTCAAGTGGAGAAAATCTGGAACAGACAGTCGAGAGCTAGATTTGCCTTAGACAAAATTCAACAGAAATTGAAGTTACTAAAACACTACTTTAAGGGGTGGGGCTTTAATTTGTGGGGTGAGCTTAGAAAGAAAAAAGCTATTGTGAAAGAACTAGCTACCCTTGAGAGTATAGAGGAATCTGGATATCTTTCTAGTGATCAATGTGTGAGGAAAGCTTGGTTAATAATTGAAAATCTGAATGTATTGAACCAATTGTACTGGCTAAATAGATGTCATGAGAATTGGCTCCTAAAAGGTGACTTGAACACACTCTTATGCACCCAAATGACTTTCTTCTTTTAGCCCACAATAGGTGTACCAATGAACTTAGCATTCACACCATTAGCACACCCTTGGTAAGCAAATAACAAGAATCAAATTGAATTGAGGATACATTAGTTGATTTGTTCTTATTCTTGTAATATTGCTCTCTGTGCCCAACTTGCTTTAAACTAGTGCAAAACCGACTATTGCCTCTCACAAAGTTAGACTTGTAAGTTGCAAAGGTCGCTTTTGGGTATACAATATATAAGACGTGAATCTTATTGAATCTAGTCGTTTGTTTTCTTTTTTATAAATTTTATCTTGATTTATATTTTACCGTTGTGTTAGCACGGGCACACTACTAGTTACAAGGGAATTGATGTCTAGACTTGTTACTGCCCAATGAGATATATATGGCAGATCGATCGAATTGAACAAGATTAAGAACATGCCCAACATGACATAGATGAGATTCAGCAGCACTGCGAAATGCAGCTGTCCACTCCCTGTACTGTTAGTCATAAATTAAAGTTGCCGCACCGGATATGCAATGTATGCTTAATTAATCTTATTAAACTTTACTTATATATGATATCACAATGTATGTTTAATTACTTAATCTTATTAAACTTTGGTTTTGGAAGGAGAATTATTCCTCACTGCTATATTTAGACCTTTCGTAGCCACGTCGTAACCCCCATCGCAGCCGAATTTCATCATCGGCAATAAGCTATCGACAGTGATGGTCATAGCCCTCACTGTCGGCTCCGTCACCGACTGTGATGTACACTAACACCGTTGTATTGTCTTATGATCCATCCGTGATAAGGTCCTTACTTCTATCGCATTGAAGCATGACCCGCCTGTGTGGGTATACACTAACACCACCGTATTGTCTTACAATTCGTCAATGATCAGGTCGTTGTTTTCGTCGTATTAGAGCACGACCCGCCTTTGTGGGTGTACACTAACACCGCTGTGTTGGCTTATGATCTGTCCGTGATCAGGTCATTGTTTCCGTCACATTGGAGCACGACCCGTCTGTGTGGGTGTACACTAACAATGTCATTTTGGCCAATGATCAGGATCACAGTTGTCTTGTACAACGACCCGATTGTGTGTAGTGTGTGTTCACCATCGCTTTGGTGGCCACATCACCGTCTCTTCAGCATATGAACTGTCTGGTCATAGGTCATGGTCACCACCATGTTATAGTATGATCCGCCTATGATAATTCTTTAGTCCGTGTTGGGTTACTAAATGATTCGGCGGTGGTACACTATTGACCCCTGCCGCATCAGAAATATAGCGGCGGTGATGGCCGTTTGCTTCACCAACGGCGAGTGGAACGGTGGTGATGACAAAACAGCCAACGACCCTTACATCCGACGGTGACAGAATTGCATCTGGTTTTTATAATTTATTTACTAATTCAGCTGGGCCTTAATAACTTACCGAACACACACCATATAGATATAATCATTACACACCATTCATCATGTCGACAATGAAGAGTAGTTTTCATAATAACAAACAACAATAACATAACAACTGTGTCAACTGATGAATTAACACAAGCGATACATAGATAGGAGAATAAAGGTTCTGCTCTCTATAGACTTACGTAATGAAAACGAGGTAGATCAGTACATGTGCTCCGCTCCTTCAGATTGGCACTCCTACTTGCAAGGCAAAAACTTCCTTTAGCTTGGTAGTCAGTGCACCATGGAATCCCTCTTCTTCCTCCCTTAGCCATTGCAGGAAAGTTGTTCAAAAGCACTCAGACTCCATAACCTGCACAAAGCAGCAGCATTAATAATATTCAGCATCAATTTCCTTAGTTACCAAGCCAAAATTGGACTGTATATAGAATCAAAACAACTCCCTACCTGAAGAAAGACATGTCGTAACAAGAAAATACAGCATATGCAACTTTACTGCTCTCTACTGACTCCATGAACAAGGGAACATAAGGAAGATAGTGAGGTCCCTCCGGACATAGCCTCTAGGTAGGTCTAGGATGCTGCATGACCTAGGCAGGGAGGACAAGAACTTTTCTACGCTTCATGTCATATGCCATGAGTGATCTATTCTTGCCAACAAGGAAAATTAAATTCCATTCTAGGTGAACTGCAATCACTCTGTAGTCCACATCGCAACCATCGTAACCAAATTGAATATTTTTCTGTCCAAATATCTTCAGCGTGGTCACTATATGTTTCAATGTCCATTTATCAGTATAGACACAACTGACCTTGAGCTTCATGGATGGAGATTGCTTCACCACATGGCCTACCAATTTTCCTCCATGTCTTTCCCTGCATATCAACAACAACTATCTGGGATAACTCCAGCCAGTGCATAAAACCATTAAGAAACACACTTGTCGAATATGTGCCTACAGCACCCTCACCCCATTCAGATTCCTTAAACATCCATGCTGCACTCTTAGATGAGTAGATGCTCACACCTACTGTTGAGGTTATAACCCCGGGGTGTCTCAAGGTATCGATTAGTTAGCAGGCCAAGCGGCCCACGATACATTAGCCAGCAAGGCTCGAACAACCGAGGCCTAGCTAAGCCAAGCAGAACAGGCCTGATGCTAAGGACAGGATTGGTCGCGACCCCCTCCTTCTGCCTTAGCCACATGACGTGCAAGAGTCTCACGACCTCTCCGCCGTCTTGACCCCTGAGGGTAATGGGGAGAGGTCAAGCCCAGCCAAACATGCCCGCTCTGACAAGGATAGGCACACCGCACTAACCCCACAAGGACCGAGGGGACAACGGTCACCTCGGTCCAGTCAGACGCCACCACTACGCCACGCAGCTTAGACAAGACAACACCGCCCAAAGCGGTGATGACTGGCATGATGTCCACCGGCCAAATACAGCCTGACAAAATGCATGTACGATTCTACCCACTATGGAATAGGATTCACAACGAAGGCCTTGACTTAGAGGCCACCCAGACTGATGCAAGCCACGACCCCAATGATCGGGATCATGTCCCTCAGCTCCTCAAGCCAATAGGGCGACTGGCGACTCGGGGGCTGAAACAATCCATGATTTCCTCGAAGGGAAATCCACATATTACATCATAATGTGACAGTCCAGAAAGACCAAG